GTAATCACGATCAGATCTGCAATTAACCAGTAGAGTGCCGAAGAGATGAACAACACTTTACTAAGGGTTAAAAACTCTGCAATAACCTCTGCAATAAGGGTGGACAGTGAGAAAGTTAAATCTGAAATGAAGGGTAGATAAAAAATGACTATTTATTATGGCCATGGCAACATCTACAACACCATCTGCTCTGTCTAGCTAAAGAAAGTAGATTTCCTACTATTCAACCATTCAGAGATTTCAGTCGTGATATAGCAGTACAAACACATATTGCCAGAGATTATTTATCTCCTGTGCTACAACTGATAAGTATCTTGTCCAAACTAGTACTGGATATTTTATCTACAAGAGATTAATGCAATCTATCTTCACTGCTGTTGTCTTTTTGTTGTTGTTTTTTTGTCTTGTTTTGTTTATTTCTGCCTCTCTCTTTATCCATTTTTGCAATATATTCACAATGAAAGTCATTAAGTATTTAGTTTGTCATGAATCATGCAAAAAAAAAATGATATGAATGTCGCTCTTAAACCAGAGATAACATGCAATACAATAATTAGCCTTTTTGTAGTTATCTATGCAAGAAAATATATTGTATAACTGCTGAGAGCCAGTAAAAATATGGAAAGTGAAAAATAAGATGATGTAGCTACCAGCTTTCTCTCAAACCTAAAATTGTTATTCTTGATTTGTCCCCTCCACATTTTCAAAGAAACGCTGTTCCATAAAAACAACTTAAAGGGACACTCCACTATATAAATTTAAAAAAATGTTTAAATACCTTTTTAGTAGACATGTGCAATTAGTTTCGTTCCGAATGTGAATTCGGACAAATTCCGGGCAATTCGGACATTCGGATATTTCCGAATGTCCGAATAGCTGAACTGCCGAATTGCCGAAGTTCAGAATGGCCAAAGTTCCGAAGTTCTGAAATTGCTGAATTTCCAAAGTGCCGAAGTTCAGAAGTTGCCAAAGTTCCAAAGTGTCGAAGTGCCAAAGATCCGAAGCACAGAATTTCTGAAGTACTGATATACCCTGTGGAAGAATGAAGAATATTATGCTGTATACCAGTTTGAATAAAAAAATTACAAACATAGCCAGGATTCAGCTGTAAGCATTTGCAACACTTACAACAATCAAGTAGCACATTCATATAAAATGTAAGTTACTTAGCCAGTCAATGGAATGACAGGAATGAATAAGTATATAACTCCCTAATTCCCACAGTATTAGGGAGCTATCTACCAAAAGGCTGAAAGACCTAATTTGGACCTAAAGATTACTTAGTATTAATAAATTCTGCCCCCTACTCGCTATACCGCGAGTAGGGGCATGTCTATTAAACAGTGAGCAACAAAATGTGTCTCCCCTCCTGAGTCCCCACCCATTCCACGTGCGTGGGGGCTTCCAACCTGAAGTGGGAACCTATTGCTCCCCCCCCGGACCCCACCCCTGAGCGGCGGCTGGGGGCCCTAAAGTAAAATAAGGGGGGAGACCTATTGTCCTCCACCTCGTCCCCCACCCCTGAGTGGCGGGTGGGGCCCCTAAATTAGAATAAGGGGTGGACCTATTGTCCTCCCCCCTGGCCCCCACCCCTGACTGGCGGGTGGGGGCCCTAAATTAGAATAAGGGGGGAGGACCTATTGTCCTCCCTCCTGGTGCACACCCCTGGGCGGCAGGAGGGGGCCCTAAATTAGAATAAGGGGGGGGACCTATTTCCCCCCTCCCGTCCCCATCCCTGAGCAGCGGGTGGGGGCCCTAAAGTGAAATAAGGGGGGGAACTATTGTCCTCCCCCTCCGGCCCCCACCCCCAAGAGGCGGGTGGGGGCCCTAAAGTAAAATAAGGGGGGGGACCTATTGTCACCACCCTCCCACCAAAATTAATGAACCCCTACCTACCCTACTCACCCTAAAAATAGTGAGGAGGGACCAATAAATAGGTACCTGTAAAAAAAAAAAAAAAAATTTGACTCATAACAACACTAACCAATCAGAGAGTTATGAGTCAAATTACACAGCGTGGGAAAATTCCAAAGAACATTCCCACGTTGTGTAAAATGATACAGAGCACTCTGATTGGCTGGATTTCAAGCTAACCAATCAGAGTGCTGTGACAGGTAAATGTAGAGGCTTAAACCAACCAACCAGAGTGCTCTGGGCCGAAATACAGGCCGGGGGAAGGCTTTATAAGTGCAACAGTTATTATGGATTTTTATTTGGCCTTTTTTGGGGGCTGAAAAAATAGGATTTTAGAAAAAAGAAGACTTCAAATGGTAAGTTTTTTTGTTTTTTTTTTACAGGTACTTAGTTATTGGTCCCCCCTCACTTTTTTTAGGGTGAGGGGGGTAGGTAGGGATTCAGTAACATTGTTGGGAGGGGGGCGACTACGGGTTTTGGGACCCCTAGTCACCTGGGGGGGTAACATTTTTATTTAGGGCCCCCGCCCACCGCTAAGGGGTTGGGGCCAGGGGGGAAGAAAATAGGTCCCCTCTTATTCTAATTTAGGGCCCCCACCCGCCGTTCAAGAGTGGGGGCTGGTGGAGCACAATAGGTCCCCTTCCCATTATTCTAATTTAGGGCCCCCACCGGCCGCTCAGAAGTGGGGGCCGGGGGAGGACAATAGGTCACTCCCATTATTTTACTTTGGGGCCCCCATCCGCCGCTCAAGGATGGGGGCCGGGGGGGTGGACCATAGGTCCCCCCTTATTCTAATTTAGGGCCCCCACCCACTGCTCAGGGGTGGAGGCCAGGGGGAGGACAATAGGTCCCCCCCATTATTTTACTTTAGGGCCCCCCCCTTATTCATCTTTAGGGCCCCAACCCGCCGCTCCGGGGTGGGGGCCGGTGGGAGCACAATAGGTCCACCCCCTTGAAGTAATTTTGGGTCCCCACCCACCGCTCAAGGGTGGGGGCCGGTGGGAGGACAATAGGTCCCCCCTCTTATTTTACTTTAGGGCCCCCACCACCTGCTCAGGGGTAGGGCCGGGGGGGGAGGACAATAGGTCTGCCCCCACGATTTTTTGATTTAGGGCCCCCACCTGCTGCTCAGGAGTGGGGGTAGGAGGGGACAATAGGTAGAATTGACTAATACTAAGTAATTTTTACTTATGTCCAGTCATTTTTAGTAGCCACTTAGTCACAAACACTGGCCAAATATTAGTTTTTTGCTTTTTTCACACAAAAACAAATATGAACACTAACTTTGGCCAGTGTTTGTGACTAAGTGGCTACTAAAAAAGACTGGACATACCCCGGGTTGTCTACTTTTGCAAATGGTATGCCAACATGGGGGTAATTCTCATTCCTTGGCTACCACAAAGGTAACATTACTAATCTGTCAAATTTCAATTTGAGAAAAAAGAAAAATGGAATTTGCTATATTTGACCCTGTAACTTTCCATAACACCGTAAAAACTGTTAATGGGGGCTACTGTTGTACTCGTGAGACTTTGCTGAATCCAATTATGTGGGGTTTTTTTGCATTTAAAGCTAACAGTAATATGACATTTACAGCTAAAATGTCTACAAATTTTTTTTTTAAATCTTAATTTCTCACATTTTTTTTTAATTTTATTCATAATAAATTATGTTTGAATTATGAATAGTTCATGAGAAATTAAAGTCCAGTTTCTCCTGAACAAAATGATATATAATAAGTGTGGGTGCACTTAATATGAAAGAGGCGAATTACGGTTGAACAGAGATATAGCGCAAATTCCAGTTTTTGTTTACATTTTGTTTTGATCAGAACATGTACTATTGACTCCGTCCTGAAGGGGTTAACAGAAAAAAAATAAAAATAATAAAATATATATATTGATGTTCAGAGATACCTTCAAGGCAGTATCTGATATCTGTTTTCCTGATCAGTTTAATATATGAATGGAACATTTCTAAAATCTCTACAGCTATTCGCTACCTCTAATCAATGACATCAAAAGAGGATTTCTTCTTCCTCCTTGTACATGCAGAATGTATAGTACCTGCTGTACAGGAGCTGATGTTAAACTCGTGTATGAGAGCAAACCCAGGACAGCACGACAGGACCCAAAAGTCCTCACTGTCCCAGAAAACTTTTGACTGTTGTGTTGTATAACATTCAGAAAACTGATAAGGCTGTGTGAATAGGCTCATAAAATCTACAGTATTGATTCAGTCAATTTATTCTACAGTTTCACTCACTCCCTGCTCAACAGAGGTTAAAGAAAATCCTCGTAGACAGGGAAATGGGGGTTCTCATTTTTAGATCCTCTTACTGACATGAAATGAATACCTACCTCTTCTTGCAGTTTATTAATAAAAAGGAATAGAAATCTTAACTGTAAGTATTTTGTAAGTCTATTTTTTTAAATTAATTATTTTTGCTAATTTTTTTTTATTTTTTATTTTGACTGTGCAGGAAAATATAATAATGCGTGTACTGCCACAACAGCATATCCAAGCTGAACCGCAACATATATGTTTAAACACAAGCAAGGCATTAGAAAATTCAACACAATTTTTTAGGAATGACAAGTAAGAAAACAGACATGTCTAGGCTGAGTGAGAAAGGTTAGCATTGAAAGACTAATAGACATAAGACATTCATATGCAAGAGGGCCGCTGGGTTACTGGTTGTTGTACTTCAATTATACTATAGGTGTGGAGGGCTAATTTGTAAGCTAGTGAAAATGTAGAAGGAATCATTCATCTATATCTATGTGACAGATGATAGATGTGAAAAGGGTGTTAGATGCTGTGTGAGAATAAGGAATAAGGCAGCAGCTGGGGAGATGACAAAGCTCTCTATGGTTCAGACTCAGTGTCCCCATACACCCTATGCCCACCACGGACAGAGCACTGTCCATGGTGGTTGTGGATCGATGCTTCAGACTCTCAAGTGTAGTAGGTAAGAGTTGCCATTTCATAGCACCCTCCAGGGTCAACTCTCTTGATGTCTCCAGCTCTTTAGAAGACCTCTCCATTTGTTTCAGAGTGAGTCCAGAGATAGCCAAGTAAGTCCCATGGCGCCAGAAATGCTTGTCACCTCGAGCCCAGGCTTTGATAAGGGCCATAGCCCTGTGTCTACAAATTCTCTCACTCCTGGTGGCGGAATCATAAGCCCATGGGACCTCTTAAGTGTGAAGAACTCTCTGGCCATGTGGACGCCAGGGGTGATGCGACTCCCCATAGGCCCCCAGCCTAGAAGAGGTGCGGCAGGCCGCCTCAACCACCTGTACCTCCGGCATGTCTTGTGGAGAAGATGCGGGAGGTCTGCTGCTTAGTCGGCTCCAGAACCTTTCACAGACTTCATCAATTCTCACCTTGAAGAATTTCCTCCAATCCCAGCTCTGTGTGTTCAACTGGTCTGAATGAGGCTCTCACCACGTGATCCCTGGATTTTCAGGCTGTAAGACAGATGTAGGTGACAGGGCTTCTGTAGTTTTTCCTTCAAGCTTGTGTCCCAGCAGAGGATCGGCCGCCTCCTCTGCTTCAGAGTTTCCTGTAGGCCGCAAGACTGTCCGGTGTGGGCTGCGTTTTTTTTTTTTTTTAAATCTTTACAAAGATATAAGAGGCCCGTCACTTATTTTTTTATAACAATTCTTTACTTTGATCTATGATTTTATTTGCCAAACTCTAAAGGACTCATCTTAGTAACTTTATGATACACAGAGTTTAAAAACTAACTATTTGTGATAATTAATTCCTGATTTAAATTTTTAATCCAAAAATAGTCCACACAGCTACTTTGGAGTTTAATGAATTAACTCTATAATCTGTTTTACACAGCGCATCTGCATATATTTCCTCAACTTGCATGTCTGTGAAATATACAACCCAGTGGGAAATTGTACGTTTTAAATAGATCTTTCAGAGATTAAAAAAATAACCAGCAGTTTGAACTATGCTGTACCACTCACTCTACCCCTATATACAGTATATATAAAGCATTCATGTTTTATGTTAATATATATAAATATTAATGTTTCATCTTAATATCATTTGGCCATAGAAAGGCAAAGTAAAACATTTCATCCGTATGTTTACGTTAAGAAAAAAACTCTTTTTAAAAATTCACTGCTCATTTGAAAGCATTTACCAAGTCTTAATATTCATTAAATCAGCACAGCTTCAGCCGCTTTAGCAAATAATACACAGTTGGATGTGGCAAAAAAATGACATGTTCTTATAAAAAGCTACAAACTCCAGGGGATGGTAGGACACACATTGTGTATGCAGAGTTGTATATAGTTTCCTGCCTTTCCTCCATCTGTGACAACATTTATATGGTTTATGTACTTAGTTTCAAAATTGCTCAGGAAATATAATTCAGGTAGTATATTGAATGACATTTTTAAAAATACTAAAAATGATTTACGTTCATATGTACTATTTTCCCCTATTTCTTCAAATTAATTAAGATACATCTCATTATCTTGATATTAAAGGGACACTATAGGCACCCAGACCACTTCATCTCATTAAAGTGGTCTGGTGCAGTGCCTTTGACCCCTTAACCCTGCAAGTAAAAACAATGCATTTTTTGCGAAACTGCGATGTTTTCATTGCAGGGTTAAGACTGTCTCTAGTGGCTGTCAACCTTTTGATTGGCCAGGAAGTGAGGTGTCAGGAAGGGGGGGAGGGGGGGAGGAGGGAGTGAGGGGGGCCGAGGGACAACATTGTTTTAAGAATACTGCTTTGAATTCCTAAAACTATAGTTTTCCTTTAAGCAAACTTGAAGAAAAAGGAGAAATTAAAATTTGCTTAATTATACACAGACTAATGGCAACCAATTGTCTCAACATTTTCTAATTTGTCTTTACCCCTAGAGCAGCATGAATGTGATGGAAGACAAGAACTGATCAGCCCACCTACTCTGCCCAATTTTCTAAATACTAGTCCCTGGCCTTATCTTATATCTAGGATAGCCTTATACCTATCCCACGCATGCTTAAACTCCTTTACTGTGTTAACTTCTACCATTTCAGCTGGAGGGTATCCCATGCATCAACCACCCTCTCAGTAAAGTAATACTTCCTGATACAGTGGGAACTCGGTTTACAAATGCCTCGCTTAACATAATTTTGGCTTACAAATGAAAATCCATTAAAAATAATGCCTCGGTTTTCAAAATGTTTTCGCAATGCAAAGCAAGTTTCCCCAGTTAGCATTGCACCTGGGAGGTTTATAGCACCGCCCCCTGCATGCTGGAGCCTGTGGGTAGCACGTGGCGTTGAGTGTGGAGGTGTTGGAGCGGCTTTTGCATCGAGTTTTGTAGCCATTCTGGAAATTGTTTGCAGTTGTTTTGGGACTTTTTGGTGCATTTCTTAAGCTGTGGAAAGGTAGGGAGCTGAGCTTTGTCATTTGCATGCCTTTTATTGTGTGTTCTGCATTGTGGGTTGGTTTCCATGCCAGCTCATTTTGACTTTTTTCTGACCTCCAGAATGGATTAATTGGTTATCAATGCATTTCTATGGGAAACTGCGTTTCGGTTTACAAATTTTTTGCAATAAGAAATGTCCCGGAGAACTCATTAAATTCATAAACCGAGGTCCCACTGTATTATTTTTAAACTTTTGCCCCTCTAATTTAAGACTATGTCCTCTTGTTGTGGTTGTTTTTCTTCTTTTAAATATAGTCTCCTCCTTTACTGTGTTGATTACCTTTATGTATTTAAATGTTTCTATCATACCCCCTATTGTGTAATCCATGAACCAGTTAAGTAGCCCTTTTCTGACACGGGATGTGTAAATACCCGGCATGAAGGATGAGGACTAATTTTCCCAGTTTGTAGGAATGTATTTTCTCACATTTTTTTAAATTGTATCAAATGTGCTATTTATTTAAGTGTTCTCTGTTGCAAGCTCACGTTATTACGTTAATAAATATCCTCATGCTTAAGGAGTGTGGGGACAGGAAGATTATATGCATCCTCTAGTCCAGGCATAGGCAACCTTCGGCACTCCAGATGTTTTGGACTACACCTCCCATGATGCTTTACCAGCATTATGGGTGTAAGAGCATTATGGGGGATGTAGTCCACAACAACATGTGTGCTGAAGGTTGCCTATCCCTGCTCTAGTCCATCGGCCCTCAACCCAGTCCTCATGGACCACCAACAGCCCAGGTTTTGTCAGTATCTCCATTTGAATAAAAAAAAGGAAATACATAAATCCTGGACCATTGGTGGTCCATGAAAACTGGGTTTGGGACCCGGTCTAGTCTATAACTACTAGAGAACCCTGGGGCACTTGCGATTTATTACCACACACCCACTATGTATTTTCACACATTGTCTTTCATGTTGGATTAAGAGGGATATTTTTTTACCTACACATGTGTGAACGTCAGGGCTAGAATATTGCACAGAAGAGAACTTAACTTAGTATTATATACAGAACTACTTCTACATAGCAAGGACAGGCTAACATTGTATTACTCATTCTCTACAACTTAACATATATTTTTACTTTTTTTTGTATATTTTAATGCATCTTTCAATCTGAGTCAAGTTATTTAGCATAAGTACTTAACGACATTAAAATTAATTTTTCCACCGGTATCTCATATCTCTTTTTTTTTAATGTGTCCCTCATTTGTCCCTCTCTATTGTCTTCTCTTTAATAACATTCAGATAACTAAAAATAATTACACTCATTCCAATAAATCCTCTCCATTATGTTTCAAATTCAATTTGACTTCAGTTCTTTGCAAGAGAAACTATCCTCCCCATTGTTCAATATTTGATTTTGCAAGCTATTAGTAGGAATCAGTTGTCTATTCTAATTTTGCTTGATTCGTCTACTGTGTTCCACACTATTAGCCGTTCGCTTGTTATTGATATCTTCCCTCTAGCTGATGTATCAACTTATTACGTGGAATTTTTTTTTTCCTTCTGCATGTTTGCTGGTTACATTAACACTCTGTTATTCTTCCTCTAATACTTGATTTGGTTAAACTGTTTATCCTATAATTGGATGACTGGAAATAACGGCTGTTAAACCACTCATCCTTTACCTCTCGGGGGTGACTTTTAGCCAATGGTATATGTAAATGTATCTAAAAATGGATAATGCTGTCATTGTCAAACCACAGATAGTTTCCTAGCAGTTAGAACAGCTATGAAGGCGGTCTCAGTAAAACAGGAAATTGCTCATACATAAGCATGTTTGTATATTGTATGCATGGGCCCCTTTCAGTCTTTCATACGTCTCTGAACTTCAGCTGGGTCTTTCTATCCTTCTGTATTGGGCATACACATATATTTTGCTCTAGGCAAAACAATAGCTGCCTACTATTTACTCTTATTTCATCCTACCTACAGCTAAATTGCCCACAATCAGGCCCGTCGCTACCAGGCAGGCAATCCAAGCAAATCTCTATAGAGAGCCTCAGGAGGCTGCAGCACTCCTCTCTCGTCACCTCCCCTTCCCTGTAGCGTGGCCGAGCTCCTCTTCCTCCTGGCTGTGAGTGCTCACTTCCTTTCTGTCCGGCCGGGAACTTGAAACTGAATCTCCTGTTACCGCTGGGTACCCTGCTGGACTGACAGCCAGGAGGAAGAGGAGCTCAGCCACGCTACAGGGAAGGGGAGGAACTGAGAACTGAGAAGAACATGGGGAGAGATGGGGAGGGAGTAAGAAGGACACAGGGAGAGGGAGGGGGGAGTAAGAAGGACACAGGGATGGGGAGGGGAAGTAAGAAGGACACAGGGAGGGGGAGGGGAGAGTAAGAAGGACACAATGAGGGGAGTAAGAAGGACACAGGGATGGGGGAGGGGTGTAAGAAGGACACGGGGTGAGGGGAGTAAGAAGGACACAGGGAGGGGAGTAAGCAGGACACAAGGAGGGGGAGTAAGAAGGACATGGGAAAGGGGAGTAAGAAGGACACGGGTGGGAGGGGAGTAAGAAGGACACAGGGAGGGGAGTAAGCAGGACACAAGGAGGGGGAGTAAGAAGGACATGGGAAAGGGGAGTAAGAAGGACACGGGTGGGAGGGGAGTGAGGGAGGGGGGAGGAGTAAGAAGAACATAGGGAGGGTGGAGTAGTAAGAAGAACATGGGGCAGTAAGAAGAACATAGGGAGGAGGAGGGGGAGCAGTAAGAAGAACATAGGGAGGGTGAGGAGTAAAAAGAACATGGGGCAGTAAGAAGAATATAGGGAGGGGAGGAGTAAGAAGAACATGGGGCAGTAAGAAGAACATAGGGAGGTGGAGGGGGAGGGGGAGCAGTAAGAAGAACATAGGGGGAGGAGTAAGAAGAACATGGGGGCACTAAGAAGAACATAGG